TTATACGACATTACGAAGTAAACGTGGTGAGTCAATGTCTTGGCTAGGTACGTGGCCACGTCGTCCTTGGTACCGTCTGTAGTTGGCTCATAACATGGTACGAGGATGCAGTGTAGGAGTGTGAAGCATCCGGCAGAAATTACTAGCTATTTGAGGCACACAGATATATGAGACTATGAGCCAGGTACATTAGTGCGCTTGTGTGTACCTTGGCTTCAGCATGGAATCACAAAACGAAGAAGCGGCCACCGCCTGAGCGTCATTTCGAGCCGTGGGAATTACCAACACCAGCAATGGGTGAATGTGCCTCTGTAGACTCTCACCCAGCAACGCCAATTTATACAACAGGCCGCAGCAGTATCGCCAATTATGCTTTAGGTATTCGTCGTTGGCAAAGGGACATGCCCGCCCGTCTCCGCCAGATGTGACGTGGCTGCGCACGTGGACTAGCGTCGTACCAGTTGACCATTTTCACACATCATCCACGTGCCAGGTGAAAATCGGACTTGAGGCTATTTAGACGAGGCCTATTGATGGGGTCGTAGAGACAAGCTCTGGGCCAACTACCCGTTCTTAGTTGCCAACGGGTATCGGTCCTATAGGATATGTTGGCGGTAAATTTATAAATTAATACTCTATAACTATTTTAGAACAAAGGTGAATCTCTGTACGGCATTGAAGCTGTAAAGCCTAGCCAATAACTTTTAGAGCCTATCGAGAGAATCCCCGTTTAAGGGCAATACGGTACAACTACCTTTCATTCTACACTCGCTTCAGGGTATCACGCATTACGCGTGGCTGAACAGCCGTGGCAATACCGTGACCGTCCAGCTGAAATATAAAGTCATCGACGGCAATTTCACCGTACATGAGCTGATCAATACGGCCCCATTGCCCTGCGTCCGCGTTGAGTATACGCAAAACTCCGGGATCGTAGTTGACAGGTTCAGTTTCAAGAATCGCGCGAAACGACGCCTGGGTACCACTCGAACCAGTCGACGATGCATCCTCAGTATTCGTAATAAAGGGATACAATCGTATGGATTTGATAGTCCCACCTCCTGTCCCATCCGAGTAAGCCTGAGCTGCCTCCTGAATATTGACGCCGTTGCTAAGCCACTCCTTTACAAGCAGCCCTGGCCCCTGGTGATCCGTCGTGAGCAGCAGAGACGAGTTCTTCGCATCCGAGGATACATATCGACCACCGAAGCGATGAAATGCCTGGCTCTGAGAAACCCTATCCAACACGGGCAGAATCGATTGCAGCGCAACCTCCGCGGCCATGTTAATAGCAGGTCCCGCATTGGGTCCCGCACAAAGAAAAGAAGCGACAATGTTGTAATCAGGCACCAGGATCAGAAGGGCTTGATACTGGTCATCGCTTCCGGACTTTGTGTATAGGTCAATCGTGTAGCCGCTGGAAATTTGGCTTCTGGTGCGCCAGATTTCCCACGGCGCACCGACCGAAAAGAAGGGCGAGGCAGTATGCGCATGGGGCTTCATCCATCGACGCGTTTGCAGAGGGGATAATTGTCTGTGGTTTAGAAGGGCGCGTCCGAATTGAGCCAAATCTCGGGACGTTGAATAGAGGCCGCCGGTTCTGTTGTGACATAATCAGAGACAGTTTGACGGCGTGGCTTGAGACGAGCACTCACGACACTTCATCGCCCAAAGGACGGCCCCAGCCCGAATTTCCCGGTGGGATAACCCCGACTCCAGTACCCCCGGGACTGGATGTACTTGTGTTTTGTAAACCCAGCGGTTGAAACACTGATTTGGCGACGGCCTCCGTGTATGAGGTACCTGTTACCGCTTCAACGACATATCCGAGGAGTCTGTACGCGGCGTTGGAATATGTCGGAGTGTTGAAGGGCAATGAAACGGGCCGTCTCTTGAGTAGCACGTCAAAGAACTCTGTAGTCGGTTCCTGTTAGAGCGGCAGAAGAACTACTATTGTATTTGCACTTGGGTGGCGATTCAACAAACCTCTTCTAGTGCACGGAGGCTGGGTGTTATTCCCAGCACATGTCGGGATCTCGTCCAAGGATAGTTCCGGCAGCCCGGCTGCTTGATGAGGAAACGGCTGGCTTGCCATGTCGGCGTTATTTACTGACGGATACTATATTAGCCAACTGGCCGTGTCAAACGTTGTAAGGACCTACCGTCGCGTCCTATTCCAGCAAGCTGAGAAGCAAGAGCCCCGATAGTGACCTTATCCCACTGCACATGATCGATTGCGGAATTTGCTCCCATCTGCGAAACGGCCTTGCGAAGCTCCGGCAGATAATTCGTCACGGGCATGTCCCAGATCTTTTCACCACCATTTAGCAAGAGAGAATAGACGGTAAAGAGCTTTGAAATGCTCCCGATTCGGTATACACTATTACCGGTGACACGGTTTGTACTGCCCCCCGAGACGTTCAAATTCGCAGCCGAGTAATGAAAGTCTAGGAAGGGCTGGCTGTCTTGGGCAGATATCATGGTAGCCGAGAGTGAGTTGGTCTTGCCGGTGATGTTGCCAAATTTTGATAGACCTGTATGCAAGGCATTTTGCAACTCGTGGGAGATGTATGACGAGGCGGTCCTGACAGCGTGTGCAGAGCCAAGATTTTCTGGGAACGGATAGGCTTGTCCGAGGACCTTTTGGTCAAAGACAGCGGTGGCCGACGTGAGGCAAGAAAGGGAAAAGAAGCAAAGATATAGGAGCATCTTGGATCAAATTGGATTTATTGCTATGTAGCCAAATGATGAAAACATTGCCGCCGGTTGGCAGGTCTTTAATAGATTTTGCCAGAGGCATCATGGACTCTTGGCGTGATGACGACGACATGATGTCGGCAATTAACCCTATGGAGAGAGTAACTTGCCGGTTTAGGTGGAATGTCGGAGATTCCCAGTAATCTCTTTGGCTAATACAAAATGGTGGCGTTGTGGTTCGTGTATTCCTCGTATGCATTTGTTGAACCAGATGCATCGTTTATTTGTGCCAACCCTATTGTAGTTTTCATCGCGAGCGGACGAATCACGACACAAGTTAGTTCCGCCAATGAAGTCCTTGCCGGAGAAACGGAGGTAACGCGGGGGTTGGCGGGCCGGGAATTGCGGCCCGAGTTCGTCAACAGCGTTATGTCCCGCTAAAGTTCCGTCCTTAGTTCCGCCGACATGCAATACGCGTAGTGGGCTGCTTGATCCTGATGGCATTCGTCAGTGTCGTGACCTGGACGGTGAAGTCCAGGAGTGAATGTAACCCCGAGTCGTCGTTTTACTTCTAAACAGCATCAGATGGTGTGACAGATGGGTTCTAGGCAAATCTTTGCCATGTATTTCTACGATTTATTGGCCTAATGCCTGCTAATTATTTTCATTTGCCATTGTGTCCATCACAAAACACTCAGCCATCCACTCCACTGTGTCAGCACTTTTCATTGACATCGAGAATGCGCGAGCCGGCGTCACCTGCCAGTCGCACAAATCAGCGACTGGGTGGTTGCAAGATTAAATGGGGGGTCACTTACATCCCGCGCCCGCGACCTAGGGCTCACCCTGTCCCTACATTCATGTAAGTGCGTTGAAAAACAGCTGGCCCTCGCGAAGGCTGATTGGTAGAATCTGCTTATATTCTCAACGCTTCACGAGTACTGAGTCCATCACACTTCATCAATAGATCCCACGCCTCGCTGCCCGCGGGATCCTTGCTCAAATCTACACGGAGCACCATTCTCAGATCTGCTGCGATGTATCGGAGGACACTACCAGCAGAGTATTCGAGGAATCTAAAGGACATCGTTCTACGCCTGCCAATACTATATTGCATCGCACATTTTTATGCTCTTGCCGCAACATGCACTTCTTTCTGCAAAGTACATTGCAAGTCGATGAGAAGGTGTGGCAGACTGGATGTGTGTGTATCATCTTGTCCAGCCATGTGGGTTACAGCGCTCATGCGTACAGCTCCCAATAGACGAACTCCTTGGTTGGGCTTCGAGATGCTAGGCCTTTTCCGTGTAACACCGGAAGTAAAGGTTACAGGATCAATGGCCGAGTCCCCCGTCTCCTAAATCAGCAGAGTTCCGCATTGTTCATCTCATAACATTTATTCTATTAGGCTCGGCCTCCCGAAGAAAGCCGAGCTCTTCTTCTTCTTTCAAATTGAACGGGTTGATACATTCCGTTCTCATCTTTCAAATCTCATCCCATTGATTACGACCGCTAGACAAGCCGAAAATGATCGATACTGTATCAACGCCTCTAGGGAGAAATTACGTATGAAGGCGAATACAGCTGACGGCAAAACCGGTTACCGTCTTCTCCCAATTAAAGAGGTCAATATAGCATTTTCAGCTAAAGGGATCCACAAAGTAAGATGAACACGAACAGTAGTCCGCGCTTCGCATTGACATTTGTATAGATGGGTATGACAGATGACATCAAGGGTGATATCTTCACCAAAGGAATGCGAGCGGACGCTGAGGCTCTAGGTGACAGGCCCTCGACCAAGAGCCGTGGGTACCAGCCTGATTGGGATGCTATGCTTCTACAAGAAATCCGGTTTATAACTATTACTTACCTTGAGGTTTTGGTAATTTACCTCTATATAATTTACCTTACGGAAACCCTAGTAAAAACGGTCTACGCCGTGCTACGTCCGCTACTTGGGGGGTACAAATTTGCGAGTTATTTTTACTGCTAAAAAAGTATCCTTGAATACTATAAAGAAGTCTGGTAGGTCAAATACAGCAATTAAACCTGCGTACACTAAAAGGGATTAAGCGCGAACGGGCCAACACATTGAAGACAGAAGGGCGCAAGGGCGCACAGTACCCCGCCTTTCTGGTCAAGACGGTCCATGTCCGGTTCAATGTCTGCTTTCATCAACGCGGCCAATGCGAATGCCTATCTATATCCATATATAAGTTACAACTTCATTTGTTGCACTGATCCCACCGATTTGAGCCTGTACACAATCACATACATCAACCTGGCCCATTCTGATAGCGGAAATGTCAAAAGACACCAAGGCCACGATCAAGGTTGCCGCTGTCCAAGCCTCGCCAATATTCCTGGACAAATGTGCCACCACAGAAAAGGTATGCGCCCTCATCCGCCGCGCCGGCTCGCAAAGTGCCCAAATCATCGGGTTCCCAGAGACTTTTATTCCCGGCTATCCAGGCTGGGTTGAGTTGCTTCCCCTACACACTGAACGAGCTGCTTCGCTCTTCCTGAAACTCTTCAACGAATCGGTCGAGGTTCCTGGTCCTGAAACCACGGCTATTGGGGCAGCTTGCAAAGAAGCAAGCATGTACGCGGTTGTGGGAGTCAACGAGCGGCGAGCAGGTACCACGGGCACATTGTTTAATACCAATTTGTTCTTTGGTCCGGATGGCTCCATCTTGCACAAACATCAGAAATATGTACCTACGGTTGGGGAGAGGCTTGTCCATGCTCCCGGTCAGACTGGTAGTCGAGCGTCTGTTATGACTGAGTTTGGCGTGCTGAGCAGTCTTATTTGCGGAGAGAATGGGAATCCCCTTGCCCAATATGCTATTGGGCTGGACTACCCGGTTATTCATGTTGCTAGTTGGCCTGGTCATTTTGGAGAAGGCATGACCGTGGATGGCGCCATCAATGTGTTTGGGCCTGCTGTGGCTAGTTCGGTGGGTTGCTTTGTAGTCCATGCTGTAGGCGTTGTGGGGGATGATGCTATTGAGGTGTATGGCGCTGACGAGAAATCGAGACGGTTTTTAAAGGAGCAGCAGAAGCAGTCTAGGGCGTGCGTGATGGGCCCTGGAGGAAGGATATTGGCAAAGGGAAGTGAGGGTGACGAGTTGGTGTTTGCTGATGTCTGTGTTGATGATCTGGTCAAGGCAAAGTATGGACTGGTAAGTTCAGTAGACAATCCGTTCAAGTATGACAACTTGTTAATTATTTCTTGTTAGGACTATGCTGGGCATTATAATCGACCGGAAATATTCGCTCACCTGTTTAAGAAATATCTTGCTTGACATTGTACAGGGAGGGCAGTGCACCGACTTCTTAAGCCAGAGCCGACGTCGATCCCGAGTACGGATAAAGAGGTCTTACAGGGATGTAGGTCAAGCAGAAGTGCTTATAGTGGTCAGGTTTAACGGATCAAGTCTTTTTATCGACAATCGCAGTTGTAATCGCGCATACGCTGGTTCGTTTATAATCAAAACAGGTCTTTATCCCATACGCAGCCACAAGTATGCCTACCTCTACATGTATGGATTTCTAGTGACTCTCATCGTAAGGGTGGTAGGCTTTTAGACATTGAGTGGCTAGGCCTCGGGTGCTTCTTGGTTGTCGCCCGTAATCGTTCATGGTCGTTTGTAGCTGTCGCTGTCGCCGAGTCCCCCCCCCTTTTTTTTGCCCTCTTTCTCTCACTGGCAATATGACTAATACTCTATTATTGTGCAGCATATTCATACTCTTGCGACGTTCAGGCTCGAAACAACGATAAGCTGTTGTCAGCCGCAGAAGGAGCCGCCGAGGCCATCTACTCTGTCCACAATACTAGCTTCAAATATGGCCCTTCGTGTCGAATATCTGGCAAATTTTATGGTAGTCTTCTCGATTTCGATTTCGTTGCCGACGTTATTCATGTGGATTACGTTTTCGTCTTTGAGTTGCGAAGCCGGGGGGGGTAGAAGATTGGGGGGTAGAAGATTCATGTTGCCGCGGGATGAAATTATCCCCAGCGGTGAGGAGACGTTTGCTGGCGTCAAGTATATTCTACAGAATATGAAGTAAGGCAGCGAAACGGGGACCCTTTCTCCGTGCAAGATGCAAGCAGACGGTAGCCAGTTTTGTAGCCAAGAGACGGATATAGAAACTGCACTGTGGCGCCATCCGCCTGTTGAGAGCTTTGCTCCCTTTGCCTGTCAAGACAAGGTCGTGATTCGCATCAAGGCGTTTATTGCCTGAAGCCTGGCCCGATGCAGTGGCCGCGGCTGCGGCATGGGACCAGTTGGCGCATTAGCCTCCAAAGGCCATGACATGTTACGGGATCCCACGGCGAGCCCGGATGTCTGTTACATGAGGGCTGCGATGACGGGACCTAGGACAGAAGACCGTGCCATGCTACGCGCAGTGGATTTGGGCAACGGCCCAGATAGCTACAGAGGGTGCTACGTCGGCACCAGCGCCTAAAACAATGGTCATATCGCCCTCAGAAAATCGGATAATGCCTGGAGAGAGCTTGAACGCGTACCGATGAGGATACATGCCGGCGAGAGGTATACCATGAAGATGATCGCGGTAGCTAGAGACTGTTGGGAGCATATCCAGGGGCTAATAATCGGGCTGGTAAAATACCAGATACATGTCCACTGTCGAGGCGTCACCCTGTACCAATAAGACTTGTTGCCATTTGGGCGTACGGGAAGCTTCAACAGAATCACAGACAAGTATCCGATTAGCGAAATTCCCCGCTGCCAACAACTGCAACTGAATTTTCAAGCTGTCGTGGACTGCAAAGGGGCTTCCAAAGCCTCGTCAAAGTCCCTGCGCGGACGTTTCTGTAAGTATAAAGGAAAGAAAGTTTATTAACGTATGTTCCGGGAGACAGTAACGACAAAACAAGATGAAATAAACCGCGCAACGCGACAGTACCGTAGCGGTTGGCAACTAGGCAACGCGATAGGCTTCCCTCAAAAATTAAAAAAGGAGCATATGTAATGAGAATTGAAGGGATGGGACAAGGGTAGTGAGCCTGCAAGAGGCGGTCGACCCAGAAGCCAGCTGTAGTATGATCTAATCTTATCAATCTATTGACGTGTACGATTCATGGACTGATCTTGTCCACTTATTGCTCTCATTTGTATGGTTGCACTACGTATGCTCCATAAAAGGTCCAATATTGCCAAGAGCAGACGTCAATATTAGGAAAGGCTTGCTGGATAAGGTGAAGACCGAACCACAACAATATTAAAACCGAACATGTCCTTTTCACTTACCATCATGCGACCCCTGATGATGGCCAGCTTGGATGAAGCTTACATGGATGCTACCGCCTCAAAGTGGGCACTCACGGATATTGTTTGATCTACTCCGTACAGCCTCCCAACATTCATTTGCCGCATAACAAGTGTGGAGTACAGTGGTTCTCACATCAAGTTACAGAACAGGACTAGCTTCTAGTAAATGCTGGGTTTTCCATTTGTAGTCAGGTCTCTGTTTTCCCTGTCAACTAACCTGGAAACCAGTACACGGTCCACGCATCACCTTTACGGCCGGGCCCCCTCTCCCGATTTCCCAGTTGCCCTGTATAGGGGCAGTCAGTACTGTACATATTTCTTCCTGATACATGTAATTTAGACCTAGTCCAATCACCTTATAGACAACCTCTCTACCTCTCTATCGAGACGAACCATGATGTGGGACCTCTGGGTCGTCATATATCTCTCTAGTCTATGTAGGCAAGGTGCGAATACATGTACGGCTAGATGGAGACTGGATCATATGGTCCGAGCAGTCCGTAACTACCGCTGTACCAAGTTTTTCTAGCCATGTCGTGGAGAATAAACTCCACTAGAGAGGGCATCGAGTCAAGTCGATACTAGATCAGATAGTGCTGGCCGCATTTTATCATTCTAGAACACACGTTACATTTGCGCTACTTTTACATTTTGACTACTTGAGGTATAGCAATAATGGAGAAATCATATTACTTTAGTGGCGCTCACCGATCTCACCTACGATTCCCAAGATTTGCGAGTTATTCAAAGCGTGATAACGTAGTCATGTGCACGATACCCCTCCCGTATATCGTTAATAGTCTACAAGTAATAAAACTGAGCAACGATTATGCATCATCTTACTATTGGGGCTTAGCGTGAATTGGACAGTCTGTATGTGTGTCCTCCCCCATAGTAACGTCTAGATAAATAGGCGCAATATCTCGTGCTTTGAGTTGATTCTGTCTCTTCACTTTTCTCCCTATCGTCAACGTCAGTCTTTAAAATAACCTTCCATCTCGGCCTAAGCCATGCATTCTATCAAGGCAACTGCCGCTCTGGCCATCGCCCTGGCGTCTTTCGCCAACGCAGCTCCTATTAGTCCAGTCCCAGGGTTGACGGAGCTCTCCGCCTGGGAAACTATTTTTTCTGACCCAAACGTTAACCCGGAAGACTATGGACTTTCTCAGGCTGAGCAGCGCGAGAGATATAGGGAGGATTGCCACAAAGTTTGCGGTACAGTACTGACCTCTTGTCCTGCAATAGCAGCCTCTAATACGATGTAATGGAATAGGAACGGTTATTCAGCTTATCGCCAAGGACGGCTGCGACTCTGATTGGAAAGGATACGAGAAAAGTTGCGAAACTTGCTTTTATAATCGCTTCATTGATGGCTCGGAATTCAGGGAGAAGTGGGGAAATGGCGTGAAGAAAGCTCTCGGCATGTGCGGTGTCGAAGTCCCAGAAGAGATCCCCAAAGAAAAAGACGCCGACGGATGCCTTGTTGAAAAGCCAAGTCCTGCAAAGCCAGATGCTGAGAAGACAGCCACCGAGACGCCAAGTGCTGAAAAGCCAGATACTGAAAAGCCGAATACTGAACAGCCAGATACTGAAAAGCCGCATGCTGGACAATCAAACACCGAATCGAAAGAGCCTGGAGTCGGACAGAGCACGAACCCTCAGAAAGAAATCAGCAAGTATGATTGTCACGCTGCCTGCGGTACGATGTCTCCTAAAAATTGCCTCCACATGCCAAGGGACAAGTACTAATTCCGTCACAGGAGGCATTATTACCATGGGCCGAGAGGGAAAATGCAAAGAGCTCAAGGAGCAGTTTGTTCCCGTATGCGAGAAATGTGCTGTACAAGCGGGCATCTGGGGAATCTATAGATGCGGCGCGCGAGCAGGCGCAAAGAAATGCGGCGTCCAAGTCAACCCTCAGTAGACAACTGGAGATTTTGTTGTATTACAGGACGATACACTTGCCACATTCATAAGACACATCATCTTATGAGTTGAGCATGTGCTATCAAATTGAATACAACTACAATATAATACATTGACACTATAGTGGATGATGGCGGGGTCGTAGCTAGAGGGTGCATATTGATCATGTTTGACGACGCCGTGCAAGAAAAACTACATGACTACCGTCCACTACCTAGGGATATATCTTGATATGCCGTATATTAGTAATGACTACATATCAATTGATACCAGACTTTTAATATTAGTATCGGTCTTGCCTATAATCGGCTAGCCATGTATCGGCCCCGCTACTACCTGGATATCGAGCGGTGCAGCAAGTGGCCGCATACGGCATCAATCATGTCGGACCGACAGCCCATGGCCACATGACGGCAGCAGTACTTGATCTGCGAGGACCTGCATGGCGGCATCTCCTCGCCTGACTAACTAACCAGTTTACAACCCTGGTATAACTTTATTGGGCGTGGCGCGACATGAATACAAGCTTCAATCATGTTGACCCCATGACGCCAGTCCAGAACCTCTGGCATCAAGCAGTCGGGCCGGTTCGACAAAACAAGACGGCCCCAGAACCGCCACCCGCAGGTGAGAGTAACGACCCGGCCCCTGGACCAAGGGACCAAGGGACCAAGGGACCAATCATCTGCCGGCGGCAGAACCGGCGTGTGGAGACAGAACATTGAAGCAAAGGGCGGCAGGGCAAGAAAAGCCGGGCGAGCAAAACGCCTTTCCCGGCGGAGACGAGTCTGTCTGTCATCAATCCTCATTCCTCATTCCTCAACCGCAACCGCAACCGTGGCAAATAATCGTCGGCAACAGAAGCCAGCAGAAGCCTCGATTCCCCCAAGCGTCGAGGCAAACGGGGAAATAATCCCCAACGTCGCGGCGGAAAGTGTCGCCCTCGGCCGTATGTCGCTCAAATAAGCTTCCATGGTGCCACCGCGGGGGATCCAAACGGCACCGACAGACAAATAACTACCCCAGCTAGTCCAGTGTGTTTCCCCGTGTTTGCTACAAAAGTCCATCCATCTTGTTCCCCGCAGCGCCACAAGCCGGGGGCCTAGTTGCGGAGTCTCCGCGTCGAGAAACACGCGCAGGCAAACACCAAAAGCAACCCAAAGCGAGCATCGCTGCCGGACAACAGAGCGGGGGTGGAAAATACGCCGCAAGGACGGGACGGGGAAAGAGCGCCATGACCCCCTTCACTTGATGCCCGCTGCTGAATTTATAAGACGGCCGGGCTCCCATCTCATGCTGAACGAGGCACACGCTGTCCATTGCCACTTGCATCATGAAACTCTGGACGAGCGTGCTCTTTTCAGGCCTCGCCTCTGCGGGCGCCCTGGTCAACCGCGATGGGGACAAGGCCCTGGCCAAGTGTCCCGGCTACACGGCGTCCAACGTCAAGACGTCTGGATCCGGGCTGACGGCCCATCTCACGCTTGCGGGCAAGGCTTGCGACGCGTACGGCGACGACTTGAAGCAGCTTGTTTTGCAAGTCACCTACGAGACCGGTAAGCTCGCCATGAAAAAGAAGAGAGAATAAAAAGGCAAACCCCCAGCTAACGACGGGCAGACGACCGGCTCCACGTCAAGATCCAGGACAAGGACAACCAAGTATACCAGGTGCCCGAGTCCGTCTTCCCGCGGCCCGGCGGCTCGTCGTCGGCATCGGCAAACCGGCTCCGGTTCGACTACACGGCGTCGCCCTTTTCCTTCCAGGTCAGCCGCCGCGACACGCACGAGGTGCTCTTCGACACGTCGGCGGCGCCGCTCGTCTTCGAGTCGCAGTACGTGCGGCTGCGCACCAAGCTGCCGCAGGACCCGTACCTCTACGGGCTCGGCGAGCACTCGGACGCCTTCCGGCTCAACACGACGGGCTACATCCGCACGCTCTGGAACCAGGACAGCTACGGCATCCCCGCGGGCGCCAACCTGTACGGCGCGCACCCCATCTACCTCGAGCACCGGGACGGCGGCTCGCACGGCGTCTTCCTCCTCAACTCCAACGGCATGGACGTGGTCATTGACAAGGCCCGCGACGGCGGCCAGTACCTCGAGTACAACACGCTCGGCGGCGTGCTCGACCTTTGGTTCTTTGCCGGCAAGACGCCCACCGCCGTCGTCCAGCAGTACACCGAGATTGCGGGCCGCCCGGCCATGCCGCCGTACTGGGGGCTGGGCTTCCATCAGTGCCGGTAGGTGCCAAGCAAGACGCATTTGATGCCGCAAATTCCAGAAACCGCGTACGAGGCAGAGCTAACTACATGTAACCCGCCCCCAGATACGGCTACCAGGACGTGTTTGACGTGGCCGAGGTCGTCTACAACTACAGCAAGGCCAACATCCCGCTCGAGACCATGTGGACAGACATTGACTACATGGACCGGCGGCGCGTCTTCTCGCTCGACCCGGAGCGCTTCCCGCTGCACAAGATGCGCGCGCTCGTGTCGCACCTGCACGCGCGCGACCAGCACTACGTCGTCATGGTCGACCCGGCCGTGGCCTACCAGGACTACGCGCCGCTGACGGCGGGCCTCGAGCAGGACGTCTTCCTCAAGCGCGCCAACGGCTCCGCGTGGCTGGGCGTCGTGTGGCCCGGCGTGTCCGTCTTCCCGGACTGGTTCGCGCGCAACGCCGGCGCCTACTGGGACGCCATGTTTGGCCGCTTCTTCCACCGCGACACGGGCGTCGACATTGACGCCCTCTGGATCGACATGAACGAGCCCAGCAACTTCCCCTGCAACTTCCCCTGCGACGACCCCTACGCCGCCGCCGAGGGCTACCCGCCACCCGCG